GCAAAAATCCATAAAGAATTTTTGGCTAATCATCAAACATATGGTTTTTAATCTTACACCTCGTTCTTCTCAGTATAAGTGCTTTGACCTTTTGATCAGCTATCCTTTCAAGCACCTTCGGGTCATCGCAGCACTTGGCAATCTCCTTGTGGCTATGTTAACCAAAGTTGCTTTGTCTGTTCGTCAGCCTGTTGGCAATCTTGCCGTCCTTTTCTTTGCTTTATTTCTTCGTTATTCGGAGAATAATGCTGCTTCATTACGTATATTGTGCCAAGCGTGTGATTCTTCAGCTCTTCTGTTAGCAATGTCGCTCTGTTCTTCATAACGACCGTTGCTAATAAGAAAGAGGATTTAATCGGGAGGAATATGCGAGGACCTGAAATGCTGAGTTTGAAGGTAGCTGCACTAGCACTAGGAGGCGAACATGTGTTTCCCAAGAAGCTTATGCATTAGCTAAGTGCAGAATGCACATGGAAATGTCAAATTATAAACTTTATTGCATCGAAATACGTGGTACGGCCTCTACCATTTTCGTTACATAATAAGTAGCGATTTGCTGAAAATTTGATTTCTTTCACTCGGAATGACTTTCAGACGATAAATGAAGGACTGGTCACCCCAGTAGTGCGCCGAAAGCAATATATGAAGGATGCGCAAACTTATGACATAACAAATAACTGGAGTCCAAGTTTGCTGCAAAAACCGTCACCACCTTACAAGAAGATTGCGAAACAAACGCAACAACAAGAGCGTTTGAGATCCGGCGCTCACAGCGGCGTCACCGAACAAATATTCACAAGAAAGTCAGTTTTTTTTTTCTCGCATATTGGAGTCGTTTTTTTGCCAAGGCTTATTTTATTAGCTTTTTATTTTGCAATGAATTTAAACGCGGAATTGCCAGTAACTGGAGTAAAAACGCTTTTACGAAATTTTTGCAAGGCATTTGGCACTGTTTTTCGCCTTTTGGATGCAGAATGAAATCGACTGCTTTTTTTGGATCCAAGTAGACATTTAGCGCTGAAGATGACATCTAAAAACTTTGAGAAATTATGCTTTTGATCTTCGGCTTCGCAACAGACCAAAAGGTTGCGGTTCTTTTGCTTCCAGAAAAGCGATTTATTTTCAAGGTACTGAGCTGCTCCAGTTATGCGCTCTCTTCGAATTCTTCAGTACTGCGATTGCAGGAAATGACACATTACCCAAGCAATTCATAACCCCTTCTCTTCCTTAGCAGCTGTCACAATGCTCATTGAGTCTGTGGAAATAATTAACCGTGTGATGTATGGTTCCGGGGCAATTATGGCGCACTTGGGGGTTGTTCGACTTTCTCTTCCTCGCCCCATCCTGTTCCCTTCGGTTCTCTTTCACAGCGATGTAGTAGCGCCTGGCATGTGCCTGTAGGCCAGCCAGTACTGGCAATGCAATTGCGAATAATGCTTTGGGTTTGGTTGCCCTTTCGTCTTAATCGAATTATGTATTGTTGTGGTTGCCTGGGGCGCGCTGCATCTATTTCATATTCCATAGCTTCCGTCGGCAGCTTGATTCTTGTTCCTTTTGAAGGAAATCCATGAGTGTAATTTCGCAGAGTCGTCCACATATTCCCACAACTCTGGAGAAGTTTTTGCTCATTTTGGTCATTGTCACTGTTTTGTTTACCAACTTTCTTTAAATCGTTTGAAGGGCATGCAAAAACGAAAATACTTTGATTTTTTTAATGAATCGTTTGTAAGGATTGGTGTGTATTCAAAGATTTTCATGAAAAGGGCAGCAGTCAGATAGTGGTCGGAAATGAAATAGTTTTTTTTATTAATGCGAAACTCTAGATCGAACATAATTCTCCGGAGAAAGTAAAGGAGCATGGCTGCGGTCACTAAGTGGTGCTGTTTTTGGTAGCAGTAATGAGAATACTGAGGATTACTTGTTAGAAAAGAAGGTGACGGCGGTTTATTTATTACGATGTGGGGTTGGTACGATGATATCAGTGATTTATCAAAAAGAGCTGCCCTAAAATTGATCTCTCTGCAGCAGTTTTGATAACTGTGGGTGCATCCCCGCCGAAAGTGAGAATAGCGTCCAACAATAGTTTTGTTAAATCAACACCACTCACCACTAGTAACGTATAGTGCGGTGATACTGAGTATCATTTATTATTAATAATTTTTTAAA